TGCACTGCCCTTTAGCTTCCCGTGGACTTTACCCTGTTGCACGCACACTTGGCTGCTTGTAACACAGCCCAAATTAGGAATAAAATCTTTGGCTTTAGAAATAAGGCTGTAATGAAAACCCAGAGAAAATTTCAGGGAAGTTCTATTTTTCAACTCTGCGAAACAGAACATGCAACAAAGAACTGAGCTTTTATTTAATTTGTTAATTGCACATGACCTCCTTTTCATGTGGTACTTTCAATCACTATGAGCTTTCTGGGCAGAGGTAAGATAGGCACGCTGGTATCTACCTCTACTCCCCCCAAAAGAGACAATTATTTGTAAAATATCATACTTGCATATCCAAAACACAATACTCCTTTAAGATGGATAAGTATTCACTTATCATACATATTCACAATAGGAAAAAAAACCCAAGTAGAGCTGGCAAAAAATGTTTGGTAAATGTTAAATCAGACAAAAAGGCAGCTTTGGTGGTGTCCTCTCATTACTGTACATATGACTGCTTTCAGATGGAGAGAACCCAGAAAAAAAAGGAACAGGAAGGCAGGATAGAGAAAAGACTTCTTTGTGATGGTGGCAACACGCTGGTGTTAGAGCTCAACTGCATCAGAAACCTTAAGAGAGAACATGAACGCCTGCCTTCAGCAAAAGGGGCTCCACCTGCGGGGATGCAAACCAGGGATCCCCACCGCCCCGGAGAGGGCTCCGGGCTTATACCGGTGCTGCTGACTTGTTCCAGTAAATGAACTGGCAAAGGGAGCACAGGCTGAGACTGCTCTGTCAACACAAGCCCTTCAGCATTTTAAATTAAAAGACGACGACTACACCCCCAACTACTTCACCCTTGAGTGAGCGAGCTATGCTTCTGCCAGTCAAAGACAGAGAAATGCTCTTGATTCCAAGCTTACCCATCCGAAGGATGCAGAGCCATATCCTGGTAACATAGGGTTGATACCAAGCGGGTGTCAGACTTCTGTCAGAGCTGCATCTTTGCCGCTACTGAAGCGAAGGGTTTCATTCTGGCAACAGGATCATTCCTTTAGGAACAATACTAATTATAGAACACGTTCATTGAGATCCAGGAAAAAATAGACTGGTTTTACTCAATTCTTTAATAGTGAGGATGAGTCATTTTCATACCACTTTACACCACCACCTTAGAGGAAAAATATTCCTTTAACACGACAGCACGCACTTCTTCCTTCTTTACCCTCTTGACAGAAAGTCTGTGTCATGACATGAAGCCTGTAGGGTTTGCCTAACAACAAATAGAGTATTTCACAGCTTGTAAAAGAGGCACAAGAAAAAACTCATGGGAATTTGTCAAGTATATGTACCAACAAGAGGAAGTATTCCAATAATTATATTCAATCAAAATTTGAATGCACTTAAGCTTCCCCAGGCCTTTCTCATTAAGAGGTAGGTGAACATTTTCCCCGCTTGTCTGAAGGACAGAATTTTCTGCCTGTGGTTGTAGCAGTAGCTGCAGTTGTAGCCCCCTGTCAACAGTTTGTAACAAAAAAAGCCCATTTTAGAGGCGTGTCATCCTCACCTAATTCTACCCAGCATACTGTATATGACACAAAGGTCAGAAAACATGTTTTGTTGAATATATTTTTTAAAAAGTTCTCACGGTTGTAAAACATTACACTTTTTCCCTTTCAGAAGGGCTGTGCCTTTCGGTGTGCCAGATGCTGGCTGGCATCAGCTGAGGGAAGCTACTGGCGCTGATGCTTGAAAGAAGAAGAGCTTGCCATGGTTCAAGTATCAGCGTCAGCAGTTTTGCTGTTATAGGAGAAGGAAGACGGACTCGTGTGATGCCAAAGCAGCCAGTGGTTGGTGAAACCACTGGAGAGGGATGCCAGCTGGGAGAGTACAGAGGACAACTTACTTATTTTGATTTAAACTTTCAGAAGAGAATTAAGGACAGTTGAATACATACCTCTAAAGGTCTTTGCATGGATTTCTGAGCGTGCTGCTTCTCCTACAGAGCTCAGAGCCTAGGACTGAGCAAGACTTTCCCTGCAATTACACCTCTCCTTGTCAGTACAAACTAATGACACAAATTGCAGAGTCTGGTAGCTAGCAGGTACGTGTAGTGGATGCAGCACCACAGCTAAACACGGCGAGCTTCTTAAAAGCTTAAAGGTACAGAACAAATATTTATTACAACTGCTCAGAAATTAATGAGTTACATCCTTGCCCTCTTCTGACTGATGGAATAATAATGCAAGGATCTAATAAATTAACCAGAAAACAAAACAAAACAAACAACTGGCCTTTGCAAGGCTTCCAAAGCAGAAAGCTGAGAAAAAACATACAGACAGTTCGCATGACTGACTTAAATCCTTTATGTTGACAGTCCATTTATTCCTTTTTCCATTGCCACAAAATTTACACACATACAGCTTACTCGGCAGCAAATCTCTCAGGTGCATTGAATGAGCAGATGCCTGCAGGTTTGCTCTCCTTGGCATGACATACATGATAAATTACATTTAAATTTAGAATTGGCAAGTACAAATCCTATGGCTCAGTTTCAAACACTCTAGGATGTAAAACCGAACAACTTGGCATCAAGTTTAAAAATACATACAGTATCTCTAGGAACTAATACTGTATGCACTGAACAACTTGAAGACATCTGTACCATTTATGATTATAAACTGATCAGCCTCAGTATCACCACTGTACCAGCTTACCTAAAAAGCGAATCAAGAGTGCCCTGTAAAGTGGAACTGTGGACAGCAGCAAATTATTAAAATACATAAGGAACTCATAATTTGAAAGCAGTGTATTTGCATTTGTTTTCATGATTGTTCAAGTGTGAAGGTGACACTCCATGCTATTATTTATGGGAATGTAAAATGCATACGTGGTTTCAAATGGGTAGAAGACTAGGAGGAACAAAAGAAAAAGCGTACTACACCTAGGAAGCTGGCTGATAAGGAGGAACTCCTATCTTGAGAGTATTTTGCCCAGTCTTCCTCTGTTGGAAGGTGTCTTCCATGAAGGATCCTCACAGGAATGAGGCTTAAGAGTAAGCGAATAAGTATGTATATACAGAAACTGAATACTATGCTAAGCATCTTCCTTCTTCCTCAGATTAACAAGGCAAAAAACCTCAACCCACACACATTTTTTATGCTCTATTTATTTTAAAAGGTAGAAGGTTCATCAGGTTGATTTGAAGGAGTTTTCAGCATGAACAAATGTTTCACAAGCTCTAGCGCTATGAAACTATTCAGTTATATCACATACCAATAGATTAAACTACTTCTGGTCAGTTATATTATAGCTATATATTTTAAGTCGCAATTGTGTGAATAACAAGCATTCCACTGCTTTTGGCTGCATAAATGCACTTGATGTTATGAGATGTTACACATTGTACAAAGCCTACAGGACAGATACAGAAATGGCTTGTTTTGGGAAGGAAGAGTAGGTAAGTCAAATGTGTTAAAAAGAGCTTAATACTGTTTTTAAATCTCTGTTGACTTCTGTAGAATACCTGTACTTATGTACACAAATGCCCTTCTAAAAAGATGTAGTCAGTAAGTAATAATTTGGCTTAATATTACTTCCTAACTCTAGCCAGGAGAGAGAGGCAGCTGAAGACTGAGACACGGACATCTAGTGGCTGCCATGCAAGATCTAACATTTACAAAGACTGCTTAGGGTAAAAAGACTACTACTAATAAATCACTCGTGGGGCATTTGTAAGTTGCCTGCTATGTTCTTACTAACAGGAAATTTGCTAATTTGTTCAAATTTGTCCTAATCCTGCTTTTTAAACATCATGCACAACTGAAATTCTCACAAGCGGAAGAATGAAGGTAATCCTTCTGTATGCAGCACGTACATTTGTTCTTGTAGGCTGCATTGACATAAATGAAAGCTGACTGCTAATATGAAACTCTAAATATTAGAGTTTAAGAGAATATTGTAAGCTTTTATACCCTCACAACTACAAAATAAAATAGTATGCTGTCATGCAATACTTAAATGATGTGATCCAAACAGATATAAATTATATAACTTAATGCACTATTTTCTCCAAAATTCTTGCACCTATTCAGCTTTGATTACAGAAAATATATTGATCATAGCTGTACATACTCTTTAGCATCTCTTTGTTTTAATAAACTTTTACAGTGGCTATGACAAACTCATTTTGATGAGGTAGCATTTAAAAGAGCCCTGTGTGAAGACATGTTGAATAGTTCCTGGTAAAACTTTTTTGTGCTTAGGCATTGGAAGACACTGTTGAGAAAGAGGAGACTGACCTCTGTACACTTTATAATCAATGGCTGGTCAAAGGGGAGACACAAATGACTGAACAAATTCAGATTTGGTGAAAACTGGTCCAATTCCACTAGCCTCGAGATCAACGATACTGCATTAATTTACTCTTTTTTTCCCTTTAAATAAATAAAATTGAATGCACAATACATCCAGAGGCATGAATGCTTATCATCATTAACATAAAGTCTCCTTACCTCTAACTATTTCTCCAAAGTGGAAGCCAACTAGTTAGGTCTTTGGGCTTATTCATGTTTATTTTCTCTGAGAAGTGCCAGGAATTGCATTCATAACTATGTTGCATTTAGCTAGAATTTAGGATATGTTTCACACTACAAATAAAACTAGAAGTTATATTCCACCAGTTCATTATTTGAAATAAATAAAACACATAATTGAAGACTGAATTATGATAATCAAACATGAATTATAAAAGCATCTTTGGTTGTTTAATGTCTACTTTAAAATGGTTAATAAAAAAAGCTGGAGTTGCAACATAGCATAGAGCAGCAGCCCTTCCTCAGCAATGCTACTGTTACATGTCCAAGCACTTCAAGAAGAATAATGAGGAAGTTAACCTCACTGGGAGAAAACAGAAGGCTGGATGTAATCAGTCTATGTATCTAGGACTTAAAAATACAAATTTAAAATTTTTGGCAACAAGTAAAAAAAGCATAAGTGCTTTTTTGTTTTGTTACAATTCTGTATTAGGACAGATCCACGGAACTAACTTTTATAAAAATACAACATACTGCATAAGTTTTTATTTAGGGATTTAATTTATATACCACAAATACTGCTTTTAATATAAGTACAATATAATACAGTTTTATTTATGTAACTGCTGGTGTTCACTTTGGATCATGAACTGAATGGCATGCTGTGCTGTCAAAACTTTAATAAAATGGCCTCTAGTTAAACTTCTCCAAAGTATAAAATCATGCAAAATCTACATCCTATATGATACAACCAGTACAATAATTGAAGCCAATAGCCTACAAACAGCCTGGACTATCTTCCGAGTTTGTTCCTGAAGCGTCCACAAGTCAGCCATTACTTTCTTTAGGCAGAAAGGAAGAATTTCAGTTTTGTCTGCAGAATCTCATCACGACCACTGAAACCAGCAACAATGTGCACAGTCATCAGTCAACAAATCTTCATTACCTAATGCACTTCAGAGCGCATGTTTAGTCCATATTGACAAGTCTGGGGTTATGAAGTTTTACGTTTTCCTCCTGTAACTACTGGTCGTGCATATTCCACAAAATCATCTATAAGAACAGGCCACGCTCCTAAAGAGAAGTCAAGCAATTCAGAAATTAATGTATCATTATCAGCAATAAACTGGTGTAGTCTCCAAATACAAAAGATCAGAAGCTCACTTTGACATTTCTGGCCTAGTCTAGCTTTAACACGCATGACATGACAAACACTTGAAAAACACACCTAACTAATAAATTAAACATTTGAATCTCTTCTTGCAGCAATAGTTCTTAGTACATACAAAATGTACTTAAAGCATAAAAATCCACACTACAAAGTTTATAAACATTAGTTGACAGCAAAACCATGGCATTCCTATTAGAGCCATTCATAACTTCGGAAATATTTCTGTACACAGTCATTCCAAAACAGGATTTGCAGGATTAGTAACAGAGTGGAAATTGCTTTTAGATTAGTAAAAAAAAGTCCACATAGACATTCTTGCAAGCAGAAAAATGATGTATTTTCTTGCAGTTAGCAGCACTTTTGTACAAAAAATACAGTTTCACTGAGACTCTTGTAGCATAACAGGTTCAAATAGCATGTGCTATATCATGGTGTGACAGTATCTTTACTTCTACTTATATATTACAGCAAACTAGGTAACCTTATCATTACTGTTTCGGCAACAAGTATGACACTGTATTTGCAGCTAAACCTCTAAGGGTAAACAAATTAAGACAGAAGGTAGCAGCATGTTCTGTTGTTTGTTTATAGCAATATTTTAATTCTGCTGTACCAATTTTTGAAAATATTCAAGTACTCCTTACCTTCTTCATCATAGTTGGACATATCATCTGCAATCATATTTCCAAAGTCTAACAAAAGATTCCAAGTATCTTTTGGAATTGATCTTTTATGATGTTCCTGTAAAGGAGGAAAAATGGTACTGTTCAATCCAAACTATTTTCAAATTCCACAGTAGTATTTTATATTGACATATACAAAAATAGACGTTTTAGAAGTATTGCTTCTTCTCTCTCTTTTTTTTTTTCTTTCTTAATTTAAATAAAGTTCAGAGCTTCCAGAGAAAGCTACAAAATAAACTGCAACTAAAGAAGGCAAAAATGTGTAAGAAGTCTTTGATAGTTGTTTTATTTCTTCCATTCTGCTTTTAGGGTATGTGTTCCTAACTTGTTATGAAAAAGAATAAACGAAATGCACTTTATATTTCTACTTAATGGCATCCATTCCAGGTTCTGAAACTGTGCAGCCATGGGTTAGCATTCTGCCATTTCAACTCAAGCCCTTTTCTCCTTACCCCTTTTTAGTCACGCTTACCCAGTCTCTCTTTCAACTTGTTGGTTATAGTTGTATTTACACTCTTCTCACTTTCTCCCAGACTGCCTTCCAGATCCATCATCTCAGCCTCTCTTCAGCTATTCTCTCCTTCACCGTAACACAATACCTGCATTTGCTCCACTTCTGCCCAGTCTCCTTTTTCCCAGTCTGTCCTACTCTCCACTACCACCTCCTTGTCTGATTTCAAATACACTCTTTCTGCATCACCCCATTCACAAGTACTAGTTGCCACCCTGGCCAGTTTGAGCAGCATTCCAAAAAGCTTCAGTCCTAGGCAGCATTCTCTCAGCTTTTAAAGTTAGCACTCCCAAAAAAAGAGAGTGTGTGGGCAAACACAACTACTCAGCAGTTGTGAATGGTCTGACTTGATCCTACAGCTCACATCTCCCTTCATCTGTTGATACTGCTATATTACCTGAAGGCAGCAGGTGATTAACAGGGAATTAAATTTCAACACCTGGTTCTGGTTTGCAGTAAAAAGTTGCAACTGCATGAAAATACTTGCTCGGTGAAGGATTGGGTTTTTTTGTGTTTGTGGTTTTGGTTTTGTGTTGTGGAGTCGGTTTGTTTGTTTGTTTGTTTGTGTGGGGTTTTTTTAAGCAGTAATACTCTGAAGTATTGAGAAGAATAAACTCCATTTCAAAAATCTGGAACTTGATCAAAATGAGGCTGATGCCCAACACAGCAGCAAACATGTCCTCTCACTCAAGCCAAAGGTCATATCTTGACTGCAAAAAATATGACAAGCAAACACACCTTCTGGAAAAGATTTAAGATCCTTAAAAACAAACAAAACACAAACAAAAGAGCCCATCCTAGAGAGTCCTAACTTGCTTCTTTCTTAGGTTGAATTTTTTTAATCTAAACATTTCTTCTAAAGTAAACATTCAGGTTAAATATTTGGAGTGAAGTAAGACACTTTATACCAGATCATCTAGATTATTGCTTGAAGTAGAGATCTGCAGAACTGTCTGTTGTAACAAACTTAATCATATAAGCCAAGTGGGAGACAAACGTTAAAACTTTTCTTCAGTTACATCTATAGATCTGAATTTGGATGTGTTAAGGGTATTAAGGCAGTTAAAATGTGAAATGTTTTCACAAGTTCTCTTGATGAAACTGGTACATTATTCAGTGAATAAAGTAAATATACTGTCCAAAAATTTAGAAAAAACTCCAAAAAATATTGCTAAAAGTATACACTTCCTCTGTTAAGCACTGGTGATTATGGGACAAATGCAGAAAGACTTTTTAATTCTCTTAAACTAAAGATAAAAAGATATATTAAAAAAAAATCAAGATAAATTATACATTATGTAACATTATATAAGGTATTTTTTTGCAAGTACATAGAAATGCAAGTGTAGAAACTTGGATAAATGAATCAGGTCTTTAATAAGACTATTCTGTAATTTCTGAAGTTTAATTTATGCATCTGTATTCCACTGCTCACAGAATTGCACTGGTAATAGAAAACTGTCAAGATCAGTGCACAACTATTATCTAAAAATGAGTCAAAATAAGTACTCAAGACAAGAACTTCTGCTTAAAAAGAAAAGTCTCTCAGGTTAAGTCAGTCATAACAGAATTGACATTTAAAAAAGGCTGAGTTCATGCATTAATACCACAAAAGGCAGAGCATGGTAAAATACATGGTTGACAATAATCATAGCTATCTTGAGAATAAAGACAACATAGGTTCAATCTACAATCATGGCTTCCTTTCATGCAGAAGCTTTCAATAAGTAGGAGGATACAGGATCAAGCAAGCAGAATGCTCTATTACTTTGCATGTAGCAATTTTTTTGCATTCTTCTCAATTAGAAAATTATATAGAGAAGATTTAATTTGGCTTGATTTAAGACTATTTTATAACAGTTTTCAAAAAGAAGAAAGTTCGAAGGAAGTATTCAGACATCCTGTCTTTTCCTTCATCGTAAGCACACAGCCTACAAGCCAGACTACTGTGGACTAAGATAGTCAGGAAGGAATACGGTACGTACTTACCAACAAAAATTTATTCCAAAGATCTAGAAATTTAAACCTTCCTGACAGGACTAAATTCCAATATGCAATTGCCATTTCTAGATCTGCAAAAGACAAAGCAACACATAAATACTACAGCACATTATATGCAATAAAACTCTTATGGTTAAACAATTAATGCTACATCCAGTCTATTATGATACAAATGAACAACATTCTTTTAAAATCACTACTCTCTACTCTCACTGACCCAAAAGGTGGAAGACAAGCAGTAATGGTATAAATTGCATATTGAACATCACGGCCATAAAGACTAAAATATTTCTGTCACCATCCAGTAGTGCCAAATTAACGCTACTTTCAATCTACAGAAAGAGAACAAGATACTTACCAATAGCCCTGTCTACAAATAAAAGTAAATAAATAAAAAAGAGATATATGCACAAACACAGCAAATATTTATAGAAACCCAAACATTTAAGTCTGCAGGTGCCAATTCCTGTTAATTTATCACATTTCAGACACACTTGACTTTAAAGGGAAATTAAGGACACAAGGGGATAAAACCAGATTTTTCTGAAGCATGATAATTCTACAGCACCCCTTACAGCAATAATTCTCTTCTTCTGGAATCATCCAGCACCTACACCCAATACTGAAAATATAAGTCCAAGAAAGCAGCCCTTATTCTGCACCATGAGCAGTGATCCAAGAGCAGAGTTCAGCTCATGCATGCCAACAGGAGGGTGCAGCACTGCCACACATTCAAGCGGAAAAGTAGGAGCAGTATTAGATGCAGCATAAGGGTAGAAAGGATGTTTTCTTGAAGGCCTGTTTTCATTCTCAGCAACTCACAATACCTAATGGCTTCTATGCTTGGTCCCACAGGTAACAGCACTGAATGTATGCGTACTGCTGTGCAAACACAAAACAAAGCACAGCCCTTCTTAAACCACAAAAAGATTTCAGTTTGTGCTTTCAGTGTAAAGTAAGTATAAACAAAATATGAAACTCAGTAGAAAGTACTGTCATAGCAGATAAGATGGAAGCTTAACCTCCACCTACAAGAAAGGAGCATGGTATTTGAAATTGTACATACCACATTACAAACCAAAGGACACTCTGTCACCTGAAATCAAGTTTCGAGTCTGAAAGAGATGTTCCAGATTTTAACATAGCCGGTTCCCTAGAGTCTGTATCATAGAGGGCTGGGGCCCAGACAAAGTGCAATAGTTAAGATGTAGAGAAACACAATATGCCTGTACCTAACTATACAGAGACAGTGCTGCTGGTGTTTGTTCTACTATGATCAGAGTGCTTTTCAGTACAGAACCTGCTTTATGCCCTAATAAACTTCTTTCAGTCCTTCCTGTCTTTGCCACCTTGCTCACTTTTCACAGAAAATAAGTAGAATAGAATAGTTAATAGCATTTACTTCCTGTTTAGATATGCAGATTAATTATTCATATCTGTTATCCCAAATGAAAAGCAAAAGAAATGGGGAGGGAGAAACTTGAATAATCTTAAGGGTTTCTAAACTTCACTGTGAAGTGACTGGCTTTGATCCCATTCACTCAGGCTTCTTTATGACGACTCAACCTTTCCAAGCCAATCTTGCAAATCTATCATGTGACAACATTAAGCAAAATGCACTTTGAAGAAACAACACTTTAATAGCAGGAGAGTGTTTATACTTCTGATGGAAATATTCCTTGGAAGAAGGTACAGGCAAGGAAACAAAGATGGTTAAAGGTGCCACAAAAAAGTTAAAAGGTAAAGAAGAGGCCACACTTCCTTGGTTTATTCGGGTATGTGTCAAATTCAGTATTATGTTAAGGTGAACTTGATTATTGCAAAATTGTGTTTAACACAATGCATGTGAAATACTATCTTAATTAAGTTGATACTTGAGGGATACATTACATGCATGTGCAAATCGGTTCTCCTGCACAAAGACACAGGAATTATTTGCTATAATATACAACAAAAGCGTATCCTGCTGAGGATGCTGCTCTGTAGTGGCTGAAACCAGTCCATACTGGAGCTGCTCTCCCCATTAAGCACACAGAGGGAAGTCCCATTCTCAGCTCAAGGGAAAAAAAATAAAAAGAGTAAATCTTTCTCATCTGGTTCACTGGAATCACACAAACTCATGAACTAACACAACAGAAATTTGAACAAAAAGGACTAGATGGGACTATCACTTTTCGTAGTGGTGCCAGTTTATGCAGTCTTAAAGTATTTGAGGAAACTAGGCCTTCAGGTGTGCTACATTCTCAGGGGATATCGCTACACTTTTGTTTGAAGACAATTCCCTACCTAAGTTGAAAAACAGCACTGGAGGACAGACGAGATGATTTTTCTGCTTTAAACGGAAGACCTAGTTACACAGAGTCCCAGTTCTACATTAGGATGCTGATAGTAGTATCAATAAACAGTAATGCTGAGGAGTTTGTGTACCTGCTCCAATTAGTGCAGCACTAAAAGATACTAAGAAAAAAAAATAAAGGCCTCATGCCATGGGAGTTTTGCATCCCCACAGGAAGATGCTTTGGAAGGCATGGATTTTTTAGGCAGTCTTAGGAATACCTATTTCAATGCTAGATAAATATGAAGGCATCATTACAAATAAAATCAAACTACAATTACAAAAATATGCTGGTTTTGTACCAAAAAATATGCTTCCCACATTACAGATTAATAATGCAAGTTTTATAAACGGAAAGGAAAAGACAGATGCATAAATCTCTGGAAACTAACACCTAAGCAAGGACCAGTTTAGAAGAGATTTCATTGCAAACATCCGTGTTCATATCCAAAACATAAAATTGCTAAACTGTTACTGTTTAAAGAACATCTTAAACATACCACATCATAGACTGGACATTATACAATGGTTTGAGCTTTCCCTTCATGCCAAAATATTTTCAGTGTCACTATCTAGTGAGTGTTGTATGTCATGCAGCCCCTTCAGCATAATGGCTTCACTGTCCAAAGTTTTTGCATACACTGAAACAAAGTTTCAATATCTAGATATTCATCTTTCTGGATATCTAGTCTAGTTGTGGCTACATAAAGCATCTATAAAGCTTTCTGTAGTAAAACCCTAAGAACTGAGTCACCTAAAAGTGATACCGATTACTATTACAAAATTACTAAAACTAAAATTACTTTAAAAAATTAAAAATATATACCATATCTGGGTAAAACAAATTCAAGAAGGAGGAAAAGGCTAGTAAAATAACGCTGTAATTATTTTAAACATTATTTTGCTAAATAACATTTATTATAGTAAACATGTTTTAGTATGTTTTAAAAGGAGTTCTTTACACTTTTGAATTATTTAAACAATCAGCTTTTCAAAACCAGAAGCATTTTGCATGCAGTATGATCTATTCTGAAACATTAAAGCCTCATTCTAAAATTGTTTTTAAAAAAACTCCTCAGTCCCTTCTACCCTGATTGAACAGAAAGCTTGAAGTGATAACAAATTAGCACAATTAATGCAGAAGGAGAAATACATTATCAGTTAGACAGCCTGTGTCTACTTTCAAGATCTGATCAAATGCTTATCTTGTTAACAAAAACCGAAAATCATTATTAGATTCTTGCATGAATAGGAAAAAAAAATAATCAAATTAAACTCCTCATCCCTTTGCTAAGATTTTGGACAAGGGCAATGAAGTCACTGCACACAAGTAATCAAGGAAGTGAGAAAACAGAAAGATAAATCAACAGATAGCAAGGAAATGGCTGGACAGTAGGATTTATGAGGAACATGAAATGAAGTTAATTTAGACCTGCTGTGCCAAAACAGCACTCTGGGACTGCAGCACTCACTTGTCATCCTCTGCCAAATAGAGCTTTCCAGTTCTCAGACTGCCCTCCCAACAGAGCTGCTCATGCAGTCCTGTTTGAAGCTGTCAGAATATTAAAACTATTTCACCTAAATTACTGATATATTTAAAAGAAAAAAAAAAGCTCAAGGCATTACATTGACCTCCTAATGACATTTAAAAATCTTTAAGTTATTAATAAAAATACTTTAATATTAGCCACTGCTGCCCTCATAATCCCTAGTTAGCCTATTGACTAGGTTCTGTATATTATGATGGTAGAATCTATCATATTTTTGAGCTTGGAAACAAATAATTTACTTTAATTTCATCTTTTGAGATTAAATGATTGTCCAAGTATTGCTGCCTTCTTCCTTTAGAATCATAGAATCATTTAGGTTGGAAAAGACCTTTAAAATCATCGAGTCCAACTGTCAACCCAACACCACCATGCCCACTAAACCATGTCCTCAAATGCCACATCTACACATTTTTTGAACACCTGGTGTTCATGAAAAGGGATGGTGACTCCACCACTTCCCTGGGCAGCCTGTTCCAATGCCTGACAACTGTTCCAGTAAAGAAATTTTTTCTAATATCCAATCTAAACCTCCCCTGGCGCAGCTTTATTGATGTTTAATCTTCTTACCAATATTGTAAAGCTCTGCTACTTTATATGTCATCTCTGTGAGAGACTTTGGGCAGCTTGTTATAAGCGTCAGTGTTCACCAATAAGTTTTATTCAGAGTATTCTCTCAAGCTACATGGGCAGGATATATTTTTTTTTCCAGAATAAGTGGATGCATCAGCCTTATCCAGTCCATCTACAGACACAAACCAACCAATTAGTAAAGAATGTAACAAAGCTTGTGGGAAGAAAAAGTTACTTTTATTAGACCAGTTAATAAGGATTAAAGAAAAAGACAAAAGGTTTTGGAAATGAAAATTTCAGTGCCAAGAACCCCTTTGTTTGAGGCTTTCTCTCCCCAATGCTTTAAACAAAACTTACTCTATAGCTTTGAAAACAAAAAGATTATCCAACAAACTCTCTTGTTCCCAACACTGCATAAAAAAATTAATCTGGACAGGTGCAAGACACAGAAATCTATTTTATCATTCAATTACCTTGTAAAAATATATGTAGCCTCTGTAAGAGGCTGAACTTCAAATGTTTTCTTTATAGTCATGTAATTTGCCCTAAAGTATTATTTGGTTGATATTCTTTAATCTCTTTCCTCTTGTTTTCTCACTGTGATCACAGGCAAATA